TTTGTGGTGTAGCGTATGGAGTGGGATAAAGCCATCAACAGAAGCTGTTGCTGCTAGGCTTTGGTCTTGCTCCTGTTTCACATTGCTTTCTGGTCTTGAGAAAAGAGCAGAATCAGAAATTATTTCTGATCTTTTTGTACTGGGTCACTAGAGAGGCAATCACTGCAAGTGGAGTTGTGTCAGGTTGCTTTTACCAGTGTTCTTCTGGCTGATCTTTAGTTCCGTGTCTTGTCTCTTTGAGCTTACCTTGACCCCATAATTGTATCTGTACCTCATTTACCTTCATGGACCAGAGAGATCTACTTTCTTAGCAAGTGCAATGTCTAGGACCTTTTATGTTAAACTTCCAGCAGGTTAAACTTTAAGTGGTGAATCTTGCTGCTTATTTGTACAGCACTGTATAAACTGACAGTATTGCATGCTTTATAATTTATATTGCCAGGAGGCTGTTTAATTCCTTCACAAGCACTCATTAATCTTTTAGTATATACATATTTGATTAAAAACAAACTTTCCACAGTTAATATTGCTTCTGTCCTTCCCTGCCCTTTCCTTTGGTATCTTAGCTTTTCTTCCTTTGTCTTTTATCACCTCCACTCTCGACTCTCTCTTCTCATGTTCTTTCTCTGGGCCTTTCTGAGATTTTTAAGAGGTGCTTACTTGGTTTATAGGGAGTTTCTGACATGGTTTTGTGTCTTCATTTCTTGGACAATAGTTAAATATGGCCTTCTTTTAAGTCTGTCTACAGAACAGACAGAAAAGTTGGGGACAGCTGTCATTTCCTGTTGGAGGAGTATCTGTGGTAATTCTGCTGTGCTTGAGAGCTGTGACATACTAATGCTGTAACTGTCTGCTGTCCCCTCTGCTATTTTTGAGTTTCTGGCTTTCTGGAGAGGGGCCCAGACTGAGGGGTTGGTGCCTGGGGTGTGGTGTACCCTTTGTCAGAGGTCAGCCAAGATGTTGTGTGTGTTTTCAGCCAGGCGGACAGAGGTAGGTCAGCATGCCCAAGAGCTTGTGGTTACTCTCCAGCAGCACACGTGGGGAATGGGAACTGTGACGTGGTGTTCTTGAACAGTTGGTCTGGTGACAGGACAGCAGCCTAAGCCCTGAAAAAAACCACATGGCACTTGCACTACCAGCTTTCTAAGACTGGCAGCTTCTTTCTATGTGCATCCACAGAAGGAGGAAAGTAGCACTTCTCTAAGTACAGCATGTGAATGAGAATCTCACAGCCACCAGAAAAGAGAAAGTAGCTGACAAAACTAGATATATTACTTGGAATGGATAAAATTATGAACTTCTGGGTGTTTCTTCACAAGAATGATATAAAAGCAGCTGGTGAAAAAGGTCACATTGACTGGGGTTGATGTGAGAAGAGAGGAGGGGTTTTGTTTGGTTTTTAGATGGTAATTTGATGGTTCAATGTAACTATTTTGGGGGGGGGCTTAGGGTTGTTTAGGTTGCTGGTAAGTTATGTGGGTGCATAGGATATGAGGAGATGGTATACATTGCAGGAGTTGTACAGTTCAGCATGTAAGGGAGGAGTACAAAACTGTGCTCCATGTTTTAATATACAAAACTACGTTGAAATATGTTCAGTGAGCCTCAGAGAAGAAGCTGGTTGGAGGCTGTCAGAGCACACTGATATGTATTGGCTGCAGCAGGAGAAGGAATGTTTGTTTGCCTTCTCACAGCTAAACCGACAAATACTTGTATATATACATAACCTCTAAGTTCACCAAATGCACAGTGATTTACCAGCCCACAGTGATATGTCATCCGTAAAGATAGCTGATTCTGAGAGAAACACCTCCTTTCCTTACCTCTCTTTTGCTTTGAACAGAAGTCAAAAGATGCGTGATCCGCATACGTGCCCTGAAGGGAGTCAGTGCATCCACGCCAGCAGATGCATCTTGCAACTTCCAGAGGTGAGGAGCTGAGGGAGCTGGAAGACTCGGTCACTTTATTTCCTTGTACCAGTTGATGCTGCACGTTAAGAAATGCCTGCACCAAGTCTGTACAGGGTCTCTTATTCAGGTGTATTGCACATGCACACCTCCTCCTTAGTATTGAAGATGTGTGTATGTTTTACTGTAGAAGGGATGGTGCTGTAGAGAAGAAGATATGTTTTAGAAGCCTTTTTGAGACCAAGGAGGGTCAGACAAGGCAGTGAGGCTCAGATCACTACAGGGAAGTGTCTCAGAACTTTGAATAGATGAGGCTGAAAAAGAACCCGAAACTGTCCGCCTGTGTAATTTAGATTAGCCTTTTGATGCCTTAGAAAGCAGAGGCTGTTCTTGCAGCCTTGGGGAGGGCAGGTTCTTGTTTTTACAAGGACATGAAATCTATCTCATAGATAATTTCTATCTTCAAGTGATTTATCCTTTGGCAAAATAATATCCTAATAAGGGAGAACAGAACGTGCCAAAAGGTGAAAAATATTTGTCACTATTAAGTGAAAATCATGAATTATGAGGTCATGATTAGCTAGCATCCTAATACCTGCATCAAACTCCTATCATGGCACTTTTGTGGTTCTGAAAGAATGCTGCAGAGTGCTGGGCTCAGAAGAGCTGAGCCATGAGCAGGGGCTGTGGCATGAAACGAGCTGTGGGTACTGCGGCTGTTGCTGCAGCCCCCCGAGTCCGTGCGTACGGCACAGAGCAGAGCGGGTCCACGCC